CTACGAAGAATACCGGAAAGCAATCCTCCCGAACTACAAAACTCCATGTACATATGTATTCTCAAGCTCTCATGGACTTCTGTGCTCTCATTTTTTGAAGCACCTGATTGATTCTCGAAGCAGGCTTACAATTGACCACTTTGATACTCACTGGCATCTTCAACAAAAGCATCCAGTGGTTTCAATCCAGCGAGTTGGACTCCCTACAGTTTTACAACACATCCAAGCTCAATACACCCAATTACCACCACATCAAAAGCGTCTCTTTGAGGACCGACTGGAGCTGATTCTCCAGAATCCTTCCGACACAATCCACGAGCCCGAACCAATACAAACTCGTGGACGACCTTTGAGAACGACCAAGCGACTCAAATCGCGTCATGAACACGTTGCAGCCGAGTTGGGGGCTCCAGGTCCAAAGTGTGGCAAATGTAAAGAAACAGGCCATAATGCCCGTACTTGCACTTACAGAGGGTGATTCACTTCAAATTAGCTCGATGTCCATCCTTCAAACCGATCACAATAGATTAGTTGTTTGTTTGTTACTCAAGATCACTCGATCACTATCCTCACTACAACTACATACACTATCTTTGTTACCTTTGTTCACTCAAATTTATTATCTTCGTTCACCCAAAATTTACAACAGTAGCTCGATCGTGTTCGATTTTGATGCTCTTTTACACCAAATCATGTTTTTAGAAGTTATAATTTTTACATTTGATTACTCGCATCTTTGAGAAAACAATGACTGTCATCAAATTTCAGAGCCCTCAAAATCCTCTCAGGTCAGTTCATCATGTTCTACATCTAAAGCCATCATCTTGAGGATGATGAGGTTATGTAGAATGCATCGGGCACACTGTCGAGGCTGTTAGGTAAGCTGCTTAAGGCTACCTAAGCGGGCCTAGGGTCGGAGGGGGGGTCTGACTAGCAAACTGGGGGGGGTCGGAATAGCGCGATCCTTTGTAATATGCTCTGACAGAACAATACTTGAGGTACTCTGATATTAGCGGGGTTCAAGTCAAAAATTCCAAGCAGGAATTTTATAACTTCTGAGTGATATTTTAAAGCACAAGTTGACCTGAAAGATCACAAGAAGTCTTAAAAGGTGTTTAAATATAAGCTACTAGGTCTTATAAGCAAGAGACAAACAAGGTCTGAGACTAGCACTGCCAGCATAGATACCTTGGGTTGAGAAATCCAAGGCATCATTGGAGGCAAATCCTTGGACAGACCTTGTCCGAGGTTTTTGCCCAAGGTATTTTTGTCCCCTGAGAATTACCTCGGATCAAAACCTTGGGAAGCTTCTGTCCAAGGTTTTGCATCCAAGGATACCTCGGATTACAAAATCCAAGGTAAATATGTTGGCGTTGTAGGTACAAATGCAGGAAAAAGGACATTATATCTGCTGTTATGGATTCAACAAGAGAGGAGGAGGAAAAAAAGCCATTAGGGAACAAAAAAGCAACTCATGTACCTTTTCTTGAGACGAAAAGAGATGTTTTTTCCTTGACCCAAAAATATAATCAAGCTTCTTAAAATTGTAGGGCTACTTTCAAGCTTTAAAAAGTGCATTATAATTCCAGCCTTTCAAGCAATGACTAAACCACATTTTGGGTTTGATTTCATTTGACTTGAACCCCACTATTGAAACTGTTAGGAGGTTAGGGGTTAGGATTAGGGGCTTAGGGGCTAGGATTAGGTGTTTAGGGGGTTAGGCTTAGGACAAGGATATGTGGTATTGCCTGTTTTCACAATGACCAGCTTTCCTTGAAAAACTTGATCCCACCACATTTAGGACTCACAAGCAGCATGGCCTCTATACCCCGTTGCCTCATCCCCATTCAGTGCTTGCTGCCAGCAGCAACAATTTGATTCATCTTTAGTTGCCTTGACCATGTGATATACTTGGGATAGCACTGTGTTACTCATACTGTAACCAGTGACCAACATTATTTTATGAGTTTGGAATCTAGATTTTGATGAAATGTCATCCAAACAATTGCCCCTAACATGGAAGCTTGCATTTTTGGGCAATGTTTGAGCCAGCATAGCCTTCAGAATTCCTTACAGATGCATATAAGATGAGCCCTTCTTACAAGTGCGGCGCCCATCGCTCAAATCAGCTAGTTAGAGTTTTAAAGATCAAATAAATAATTAAGGGAAATTGAAAATGAGAATCAATTTGATTGATAGGTGGTAACCTTAATAGACACTTGAAATGAATATTCTATTATTCTCAGTTTCTTCCTGAATTGTTTGGTTTATTGTTTGAGTTTTTTGTTCCTGATATTTCTTGTTCTTAGTGCAGATATTTTGATTACCACAACGTGTTCCCCTCAGTGTTGATTTCTGTCAACAATGGCAACAAAATGGCACCAAGAAGCCGTCTTTTGTGCTCAGACCAATCAGCCATTAGTGTCAATGTTGACATGACCTGCAATGCTAGAGCTAAAATTTGCTGCATTGAATACATCTCAATCATGAACTTGCAATGCAAAAGCACTGACAATAATCAACTGACACGCATATTACTGATTGGTGGAACTTAGTAAGCCAACCTCATGTGCCACGCTTATCACGACCTCGATGACCATTTGGGCTTAAACCACCCTTGCTAAGTGGAATTTCAAAGAATCAGTGATAATACCCTGAACACTAAAAGTCAACAATTTACCCTGCTCCAGCTAGATGGCCATATCTCTCAGATAAAATGTCCCTCTCTCAGGATAATTTGGTCCGAAAACCTCATGATGCTACAAATATGTATCTCGTAATTCATGATGTAATGTTGATAGGGTTGTTAATTGAATATTTCATTCCTCCTTGAATATGTAATGAAGGGCTCAAAGATTGTTGAAGAAGGTAGAATTAAACCCTCAGTGACCAGTTGTTGAAGGGTTGAGTGAATGCAGTGAAGACATAGTTATCAACTCTTGACAAGCTGACAATGAAGGGTCAATTTACCAATCCACATTGGGCTGAGAACATAGGGTCAATATTTCCTTTGAATCACGGGTTGAGCATGAACAACACATCAAAGGGACTGTCCTGGTGTCTCTGTGATATGTAGTTGTCTGAAGAGCAGTAACGTGGTGACCGTGACAGTGCAAAAGACCAAGTAGGACCAGCTTGAGTTGTTGAGTTAAATAGTCAGGTGAGATGTGGTTTTTTGATTCACATCCACATCACTCTACCTCCTCCTCACGTACATACAGTCCAACATTTTGAACTGAACTTTTTTTCTGCACCACTCACCAAACTCTCAAAGATGCATCTTAACCCCTACGCTTGCACAACTACTAAGAAAGTTCTACATGTGTTCCTCAGCAAATACCCCCCAAAAGATGTGCGGGTCACGAAGAGCATGCTCAAAGCTCGACTTCAGGAACTTGCCGCAGCTGTCATTGCTGGAATTCCAACCCAACTCGAGGTTGATCAGGTTGCTTCAACATCACACCCTTATGCATGGTGAAAAATGATTGACAAAAGATTGTTTATGAAATTGAGGGCTGACTTTTGGCCAAAAATTCTCATAAAGCAAATATGGGGAGAAATATAATAGCAGTACACAAACATATCAACCCAACCTTATAAAACCCATGGTCACCCAATTGATTTTTGGATTTTTTAGCGCTAAAAACTCAGAATCAATTGGGTCACCGTGGGTTTCTTGGATGGGTTTTTGAGATCAGGTCAAGATGTTTGTGTACCACTCATGCTCTTTGTCCTGGAATGTGTTTTTTGGAATTGCTTGAAACATTTTTTTCATTGTCAACTCACCTTTTCTGGTTTTTGAAAGCTTACAAGAGTGCAGAAGATCTGTAAAAATCAAGACAAATTGGGAATGCCCTTTTGAGATGTGTGGTTTTTTTTCCAAGTTCATTTCATGCCTCTGTCTTGGATAAATGCAAGGTATAGCATCAAAAGTTGTTTTCTGTTTGCCTCATAAATTGAAAATGCATCAAATTTTGACAGATTGTCTTCAAAACATGTCCAGGTAATGTCTTATCCTTTGTTTTCTTACAGAATGTTTTTTGCATGGTTTTGGAGCCTTGTACAAATGCTAGTAGCTTTTGTATAGCTTTATCAATTCACATGTAACGGCTTATATTCTGAGCCGGAAAAATCCCAAAAAAATGTTCAACAAAGGAGAAGTTTTCCTTCACCAATAAAAAAACTATCAGCAAAGAGTCTAATGAGGATGGTCAATGAGAGTCTAGTAGTGTTTGTGATGATAAGGAGTTCTTTGTGAAAAAGCTTGATGATGTGTGTATTTCTTTTATTGGAACAAATTACCGTAAAATAGAAAGACATGAAATCATAACATAAGAGCACATTTATACCCAATCAATCAGATAACAACACTATCAGCAAATTGTTCAAGGATGATCAATGTGAGTCCGGGGGTTTGTGATGATAGGGAGCCTTTTATGAAAAGGCTCAATGATCAATGAAGAAAATCATCAAAGCTTTCTCATAACAAATTTGATATACTATACAAGGCAGCAGTATTTGTGGCTAGGTCAACTTCAGACCCAAGGTTTTTAGTAAAACAAAACAGTACAAATCGTTATAAAGTGTAGTAGTGATTTGTGCACATGAAAAGGAATGAGAAATGAGGAATGGAATTAGTAAACAAATGTGCTTGTGAAATTATTTATTTCCAACACAATCATATCAAACAAATCAAAAAGAAAGATCATAAAAATTTGTTTACTCTCAAGCTTGAGTTTCCACACAACAAGGCACACAATTTTGACAAGAGACAGAAAAGATTGTAAACAAACTCAACAAAACTATGATCAATTGTGATTTTGATATGAAGGAGTAAACACAGCAACAGCCTTGAAAGTATATATCTCACTTCTTGTACTGTACTTGAACACTTATCATGTCTTTTACCAAAACAGTATCTTGAACTTTCCTTGACATTTTCCTTTTATTACATATTTTGATGGTATCTGATAAATCTAATATTGCCATACATTGTGATCTTACCCTCCAGTGACATCTTCCCTTAAGGCTCCTTCCTCTCCATTGATTGAACCAAGAATCCTTTCTTGTTTGATGAGAATGACTCTCATCATCATGTTCTTTCTGGAAAACCATCCTACTTCATTTTCAATATTCCAGAGGTTCACAAATCCTGACTTCTTGATTTTGGATAGATGAGTAAGATAGAATTCTTCTATAATACTTAAGTTGGGTGATGTGATCTTGTAAGCAGAATGAATACTGCCTGATCCTTCACTCTGGAAGCTTAGATACCAAAGCTCAATAAGAAACTTCAAGGGATGTATGGGCATGAAATCTGTGGATTTATGTTTACCCATATAATTTAATACATCTGCCATATTGGACCAATCAATCTGTAAGACTGACTGTTCTTGATCAGAAAAACACAAAGGAGACTTATTGCTTTCCAAAAAATCTTTCCATTGACCAACATATGTTTGTAGGAATTTTAAACCACTTTGTAATATGTAATTCCAATCATCTTCACTGTGATAGTGTTTGTATAAGATATTCAAAGCTCCAATGAAAGCTGGTCCAATCTTCAAATTTACATTACTGACTGCAGTCTTTATGACATCTATGTTTTCAGAAAAACCTTGACTGGGACTTGATCTTTGATCAATTGAATGTATTCCATGATAATTTTCAGAGGCAACCTTTAAGATTTCTACTCGCAGGTCTTTAAACTCCTTAACATATTCATTGTAAAAATGCTCCTGATCTTGGAATTCTTTGTTCCCAATTGCATTCAAAAACCCTACAAATTCAGGCGATATTGACAATCTTGCAGAGTTGACCTTTGCTAGAAGTTGAAATGGGTGCAAGTTTGTACAATCTTCTTGATCAACCAACATAGGAGATTTTCTTTTTCTAGATCTTTTGACTTCATGTCTACCCCTTTGAACCAATCCATCAAATCCTTGGCCAGTCTCTGAAACAGGACAACCTTGAAAGTGAACTTTCTTTATAGACTCTATATTTGATACCATTATTCCAAATTTTGAGAATATTTCTTCAGTCTTGTACCACTCTGACAATATATCCCACACAATAAATATTGGACTATTATTTCTCTGGTTATGATATGCTAGGTATCTTATGATTTTCTCAGTATCAGAGATCTCTAAGGAATTCATTGCTATTGGTAGGATTTGTAAAGTATGACTTGTTGAATATTTTTCTAACCATGGCCCCCATTTTGAAAAGTATTGCTTAATGAACCCCCAACCACTTCTCAAGATGTGATCCCATGGGTGTTGAATTCCATGTGTTTGATGTATGAGGAACAAAGCTGCCACAAATGATGTGGTTATTTGATTCCCTGCAGTTTCAATGGCATTGAAAAGCATTTTTTCCCTGTAGATCAGTCTTGCAATGGAGATTGATGTGGCTCCTTCAGGTACCTTTGGTGGCCAAGTGACCTTTTTTATAAGACCATCAAAGAATAGTTTGACTTCATTGGTGAAATGGCTGTGATGATACAGATAATTCTCACCAGTTCTGGTCATAAAACGTCCAATCTTGACATTTGATCCATCCTGCTTGCTTCTTGCTATAAGTCGAGGAATCATCTGACTACCTACAAATTCATTTTACACAAATCTACTCTGTATAATGTGTGCGGTTGATCTCCCCACCTTCTTCAAGGTTTTTTGGTTTGATTGAACATGATTCTCTGGAGTTTTTCTGTTGAATGAAAATGTATTTTGTTGAAAATTTGAGGTTTGTGAGGTATGATCTTGATTGATGTTATGAGATGATCCTACATTCTCCTGTGGAGAATCATGGCTTGTTCTCAGATTACTTTGCAAAGATCCATGTTTCAATGTCAGATAATCTGATGAAACATGAGTGGATAGCTGATTGCCTTGTAGAGTGTCTGTCATTGATCTCATACGGTCCTGCAAAGGAATGTGGCTTGGTGGCATGAAATTCTTTGGAATAAATTGGGTTGGCACCATATGACTTTGTTGAAGATCCTGGGTTGGTGTGAAGTTGCTTTGAAATTTTTGTGTTGATCTCATTGTATATTCATGAATTTTTTGACTTGATTCCATTTGATTTTGTTGAGCATTTTGGTTAATGTTTGTAGTGTCTTTTTGAACACCAGGTCTTGACTTCCAGATTGAATTCCCTCTATTTTTCTTTAATGATACACAACCTTCAAGCAATTTATCATAATTTATAACAACACCATATATCCTTGGTTTGTAAATGGTCTCTTTCTCCCAATCTTTCAACAGGTTCAAAATCAAGTGAGGTGAGATATTCTCATCCTTCTTGAGGGCCAATATATATTCAAATAGATGTCTTTGTTCAGACCATTGATCTTCCCACAGGCTGTCTCCTCTAGATATTGTTTCACGAGATAGACCAGGAAGATAGAAAATTGCCTGTGTCAAGTAGCTTCCAAGGAAAGTCCAACCATCATCAATCAAGTCACTATATTGAGGTATGTTCTGATGTCCTGCAAAGATAGAAAACAATCCCCCAAAAAACCCATCAACAACATCATACTGTACTTTCATCAATCCAGATTCTTTTTCTTCTGGGTTGTATGGAATCAAATTGTTGGGTGAATTTCTGTGTATAGAGTAGGTCTTGTGATGATCGAAATAAGCTTCAATTTTTTGTACAAGTCCCTCTTTGATAAAACTGGCAGCGGATCCAGTATGTAATAACACACTCATAACCTCTTTTTCATTGACTTCTCTTGCCATCTTTTCAGGCATATTCAGAGCACTTGGTGTGTTATCAGGCCTCTGGATTACTTCTTCATTCATTGACCCCTCTGTCTCTAAGGGGTGTGGGGCCTGAGAGATACTGTTCCTATCACCTTGAATTTGGTGATGTTGAGATGACAAGGAGGGCAAGGATCTCTCTTCAGTGTTAGGTTGATCAATTCCAATTCTGAGACTGAGATCTCTGTTACCATCAAATCGAGCCGCGTGATCATCCATCAGCAGTCTTGAATCTCTGATATCTCTGGCCTGTGGTGGGTTGCCATTGTTGTTGACTTTGATGCGAGGATGTGGTATTAACAATGATAGACGGGATTGATCTTCAAGATGGCCTGGGTGTTTAATTCTCTTTCTTGAGATGGAACTTCTGAGACTGTTATGAATCTTTTGAATTGGTGGTTCAGGACTCGAAGACCTTGAATCTAAAGAGTTTTCTGGGGTTCTCGTTTGATCAGATTCACTTTCATCCGTTCCAGTTGATGATGATGATGGAGTGGATCCATCTTCAAAGCCTCCGAAGACTTTTTCATATATCCTTTTCCTGGACTTGGAATGTATGTTTTTGTCAACTACTGTTGTGGCAGTCAGCGTCGATGGAGCCGTGAGGCGCTCAGGACTCATCTTTTCGATAATTCTACTTGATGGTTTTTCAGTTGATGATGAGTGGAATTGATCTTCCATGTGTAGGCCTGATGGATAGACCCCATGTTTGACGAAGTTTCGGTCATGGTCAACTGCTTGCTGAGGTGTTTCTGTTTGGACTACACTCTCGTTGAGGTCAAAAATATGTGGTCTTTGCGTTGTAGGCTTACACTTGGGGGAAATCACTGACGAAGATGAAATTTGGATCAAAAACACGTAAAACTGGATGGAAAGCTTCATTCTAGGTCTTCAAGACTGGTGCATTCACATCAAGAGAAAGATCTCGTGAATCTCATTTTGAGAGGCTACATAAAACCATTTCTTACTCTTATGTCGCGATGACGCAAAGAAAGATCTGAGTCTCACACTGATCTCCATACGCAGTCTTCATGAAGGCCTCTTTGCATCCAATTTATTATACTTGAACTTCAAGGCTGTATTCATAGTTTGCCAGTGTATGCAATGCTGGGCCAAACATGGCACATGTTTCCTGGCAAAGTCTCCGACTCATATTCCAAGGGCTTTGAAAACCTTTCATGGCGACCATCAAGCAAATCTCATGCATGTAAGATGATATCACATGTACAAGATGAGCTGAGCAATCGGCTTGGTAGCTCGCTCTTTGGTTGCGACATGTGCCCACTCTGAGCCAGTGCGCTGGTCAAGACCAAGAATGCAACATGTTGCCCACGTCGTGGTAAGGAATGGCAACTAACTCAACTAAAACCTTCCTAATCGCAGGTGCTGCCTATTGGAGGGACAGTAAAGTAGCAGCTGCAAGGGTGTTCATCCAATCCTTCAATTTCTGTATGACCACGCTTTCTCCCAGATTGTTGAAATGCCAATATGAATTGTTGAATAGAAGATGATGATTGGAATGACATGGATGTATGTAGTACTGAGGATAAGGACACAAACGGGCTTCAAAGCAATAGCGACGGAGGAGATGAGCATATAGTAAAATCAATTTCTTGATGTAGCAGGCTAAAAAAGCAAACAAAGTACACTTACTTAATCATCCTTGTTTAATTGTTAAAATGTGGAGAGAAAAAAACACACTGTAAAGCTTATTCAACCCAATTGGCAACCAGTGATCTTGATCACACTTCCAGTTTGATCTTTCCAAATGTAATCCGAATTAAATTCATCATGAGGAAGAAATTTTACACTTTCAATCATGTTAGAAATAAATCGATGTATTTGACTACTGATTCTAATTTCATTCTTATCAATGTAAAGCTAAACCAAGAAAGAAAAAACGAAAGATCAAAATAAATTATTATCATTTTCTTCTATAAGTTTTACAAATCCAAAATCTTCTCAAATCTTGATACATACAATACCATTCAACCCAATGAAATCTTCTAAAACCTCAATTCAATACATTATAATCTATGATCTATCCCTATCTTTTCAAATTTCCAAAATCGTTAATCCATTTTGATATTTTATCATTCACGTTTTAATATCCTTTTGACCAATTTGTTTTAATTCGATTCGTTTTAAATTCTCATCAGTTCTATCAATCCAACTTCCAACCTTCAATTCTTTAGCCAACTCTTTTCCAACCAAAAACCTTTCTTTAGCTTTCACCAAATCTCCCATCATTTCTTCTAAACTTCCTAAATTCTCTTCAATCACCATTCGATTCTTTAAACATTCAAATCTTTCTTCTTGATTTAAATTAACTTCATCATCATCATCGTCAATCGGAATCAATTCTAATGCCTTCTTTAACCATTCTTTGGATTGTGAAATCATCTTGGGTTTTCTTTGAAGATGTAATTGTGAGATATTATTCATGAGAATTGATGCATGACATCTTTCTAAAACTGTGGGTTCTTTTTTCCTTGGTTTTGGTGGTAATAAAATACTTAATGCTTGAAGATAAAGTGTTAAAGAATACCTATGAAGAAAAAAAAGAAAACAACAAGATGCTTAACTTAAAATTGTAGAAGAATGAGATGACTGATTTGATAAGAATACATAACATACTCAGGTTCTCCATTCTGGGCATAAAAATCTCCAAGTGATTCTAAACAAGATCCTAATTCGATCCCTTTAACCCATTCAGGTAACTCAATTTCACCTAGTACAATCTTTTCATTTTCTCTTGATCGATTCGATCCGATTCCAGGTAAACTAAGCTTTAAAAGTTCTTCAACACTCCAAGTCAAATACTTTTCAATCAATTTTTTATCATTCGAAATCTGAGCTAATTTTTGAGCCACCGAAACCATTCTCATCTTCAGATATCCTTCTATTCCATTTCCATTCTCATTACTAATTCGATCTTCTAAATCTTTAAAAACTAATAAATAAACTTCTTTAGCTTCTTGAATCTCATCAAAGCTTTCTAACATAGAACCCCATCTAATTCCAATCCCACTCAATTTCATCAATTCTATTCCTTCTAATCTTCCTAATTCATAAGCATACTTAAAAAACTTTTTAGATTGGATTAATTCTCCATTCTTTTCTGCAAGTAAAGCAAACCTAAGATTCTTTTTAATTTCTTTTGGAAATCCGCCTTCATGAATCGACGTAGGAAAAACCGTATAAGAAATCAAACCAATACTTAGGATTATAGTACTTAATCCAATCCATTTGGGTAATTGATTTCTTGGTTTAATTTGAGTATGAAAAGTCCTTTGGTAAGGTTTTGTAAGATGTTTTGAAGGTGTTGATGAGTTTTTTGCAAGTTGAAAGATTGATGATCGATAGCTTGATCGTATAAAGTGAAATGACATCTTCTTTGAAAACTTGCTCCAGTCTTTTCAAACTTGTTCAGAAAGTGAGGGAAGTCTACAATCGGGTGTGTAAAAGTACCGCATATCGGGTATCGGATATGCGGCACTTGTCTTACCACCAAATTGCACAAGTCTTGAAACCTTTTTTCACAACTTTACAACATCCTGAACCAGTAGAATCATATCCAAAGACCAAACCACCCCATTTAAGATTTCAAAAATCTGTTTAAATTCAACAATAGTGTCTCTATATAGTCCAAATACAAAAAAAAACTGTAAGTATATAACAAAGACAATCAGATTTTGAAAAATGATGAAATGGATGTAAACAAAAAACCTTGAGGTATATACAAAACTTATACTCTTCAAATTCATCAACTCCAAGACTTTCCACAAAACTGACAAAAGAACTCATCACCAAAACAAAAACAAGCTTGGAAAAGAAGCATTAGCCTCAAGGAACTTTAATTGATCTGTAAAACCCAAATGCTTGAACTAAAAACACACACAATCAACACAAAGAAAGAACTAGTTCATGGTACACATAACCTAATGATGATTCTAAACCAAACAAAGACTTTAACCCAAATGCATCATTCATCTCTTCAAACCTTTTCAATCCACCTCAATCCATCCATCCATCCATCCTAATTGATTCCATTTCAATTCCCATCATTATGTTTAGTTTCTCTAGAAAACCTCAATCCCATTCCTAATTTCTGACCAAACCTTCTAAAATCTGACAAAGCTTTACTACCACCATGACTTTCAAGATTGGATTCCGGACTTAATCCTACTGAACTTGAATGAATGAGTGGATTAGATTGAGATGATTTGTTAGGAGTAGATGATCTAGAAGTTTCTCGACTGAGTCCTGAGAATTGTAATAGATTCGTACTACTGATCGTACTCATCATCTCGGGATTCATATCTAAACTTGAAATGAAGGATGTATCATCTAAATCAGATTGTAATGAAGTTTTAGATAAAAAAACATCTAATAAATTATTTTGTTCATGCCTTTTAACACCCTACAAAAAAAACACCACCAAAATCAAACAGAAAAAAAACCCATTAGAATGATGATGATCAAAATGGGCTTTTTTCCACAAGAAAAAATCAAACATTACCTTTAAATCTAAAACTTTTTGAAAATCTGAAAACGATTGACACGGGATCAACAACAAATAATTCTTAACAAACTCTTCAGCCGGTTCTTCATTAATCAAAATCACTTTCAAAAGCCGATCTAATCTTCCTACACTCTTCAAAACGTTTTTCGTATATGCCATTGGAATCGGAACTTCCGGATCGATTTGTGGTAAGGTTAATAAACATGATTTGATGACTTGTAAATCTAAGATGATTTGTTCGGCTGCAATCATTGGGATCGGTCTACATTTAACTATGGTTTGAGTGAATTTTAAAATCAAGTTTCTATTAATCGTGATGAAAATTAAACAATCCATCAGAAATCTTATTTGAAAAAACACTTTAATTCAAATGATCACTTACCCAACCACCTTATCACAAAAACTACGAACATACTTCTTTTGTTCAAGATGTTGTTTAACAATATTCACGACGAGTGTGATTGCACTAACTAACTCGTTTGTATAAGGACTTTCAGAGCTAACAAATTCTAACTCTTTCCATGTAGATCTTAACATAGAAGTAAATCCAGTCTCACAAGCTCTTTCAAGTTCTTTCAACAAACTAGAAATAGCCATCGAAATATTCCTACACGAAAAATCGATTCAATCAAACCATCAGGTAAAAAATTAGATTGGTTTCGGATTAAAAAAAACAAAAACAAAAAGACAAACCCTCTAAACAAATCCTGTTCAGATTCTAATGAAACCGATTCTTTAAACTCAACATCAATATTATCTTTTAATCTAATTTGAAGTTGTCCAGAAGTTTCAGCACAATACTCTGCCGTATTCAACACCAAACAAGTACATAACAAATTCGGAACATTAACCAATCGATTCACATCCATTGAAATCCGATTAAACTCAACACTCGTTCTACCAAGATCTTGTGAATTTAATGAATGAACTGTTAAGATCTCTTCACTATAAACTCTAAGCCATTTTTGATAAACTTTATATAATTCTAAAAAAGGTGTTCGATTACTTAAACTTGCACATCTATCTAACGTTTGTCGATAGAAATGAAATAATTCAGTTGAAGATTGGATTAAACTTGTAGAAGTTTCTTGGTCTGTTGAGTTTATAAAATCACTTGGTTTAGGTTTAGATGCTCGAAATCTGACAAACATTTCTGATAAAGCACTAGATCAATCAAAGGGTTAGATCAATCAATTCTTAGAGTTGATTCTATTGTAATCACAAAGATAAAACTTACTGATCTTGTGCGTCTACAAAGATTCCTAGATAACTTTCAAAAGCTGTTCGAATCGGAGTAGCCGAACCAACTTGAGTCGATTTGGATCGAGAAGCTATAGTTTCATACTGAAAGAAAAGATTCGGTCAGTATTCAGGTTACAAAGTTCCACTCATTAGCTAGGACGGCCTCATCAAGTTGATAATCAACAAACTTACAGGCATACCAAACTTTTGCGACATTTCACGTTCGAATGAAGTGGTAGTCTGTAACGCATCAAGCAAAAGCTCAACCGTCAAACTAGACCTAGACCTAGCCAAAACACTCTTCAAATCCTCTCTACACATTCCACACACCTAACATCAGTTAAATCTTCTTCAAACCATCCAAAGCTCATCAACCCATTCACAGATTTAAAAAAAACCAAACTAACCTAGTCACTTCACCAAACTGACCACATAAACTTACTCCAACTTGCCAAGATTCAGGAAAGATCTTAGCACCACCACCACCATTGAGATCATCTTCATGATTTTTCAAAAGTCGTTTGAACCAAGCATATCTTCTGGTGATATTATCTAATTGACCTGCTTCAGATAATTGACCTGAAAAGATTCGACGATATTCTCTTAATTGAAATGTAGTATACCATTCTATTAAAGAGTTTCTGAAAGACCAAAAAATCAAAACATTCAGTTCATTGAAAAATAATTGGAAAAAAACTTTATTGGGAAAAAAAAAATTAACTTTGCATCATCACCTAGAGCTTCGACTACAAGACAAGAATCGATTAATTGGGTTTTATTCAAAACCATTGATTTATGTTCAAATCTATCTAAACCAATCGCAAGCAAGTCCATTTTTCTCAGCCTTTTCAAAAACTATCTTTCTCATCACGAAATTCCCCTCCCCCCAAAAAATCATTCCAAAATCCAAAATCCACTCACGCCGCTATAAATTCATCCATAATCGTTCGTCTTAACAATCCTTGAATTTCTTGAACAGCCTTAAACAAAGCAGCCACTCTTGGCACACTAGTCGACAAATCATGTAGATGTGATGAAAGTTGTCGAACAGCTTGTAAAGCCGAAGCCGCCTCTCTATACCGTTTTCCTTTAGCCACTCTAGCCAATTGATCAAACGCATTAACTTCAAAATCAAAAACATAATCCAACCCACAATCTCAGTGTTTTCATTCTTCTGCTAAGGTTTCTTAAATGAATCAGTTTTTTTTTTTGAAATTCAGCTTACCAAGCATTCCAAACCTTCTTAAACCTACTACTGCACTTTCGATATTCGCTTTAGCTAAATCTAAAGACCTGATTTCTTTGGTAATAGATTCGACTACCGATTGAGATTCAGTAGAAGAAGATCTAATCGTAGCCAAAGTAGTTAACAAAGCCTTCAAAAAAAAAATTCATAAATCAATCAATCAGATCTCAACCATCTTCTCTCCTGGCGGTTGGAAAGATTTACTTACTCCGATTCCTTCTTGGATCCTTGTTACTCTGGCTTCAGCTGTAGTACTACCTTCAGCTTCGATTCCTATTCCATCTTCATCACACGTATTCTCAAGTTCTGATCTTAACAATGATGTTCGCTGTGTACATTCTAGGATTCTTTGTCTTAATAAGATTTGTAATAATGGTAAGTTTGATAAAGATGATTCTAAATATAACCAATGATGTCAGTCCTTTTTTGTTTTGTTGTTTTCGTTTTTTTCGGAAGAAGGTTGGTGATGATTGAAATCATTTACCTTCTGGACATAATTCGTTGATGGCATCTTCTATTTGGATTTCATGTGAGTCAAGTAGATCCACTTCTTCAGTCATTTGGTTCAGTGTTTTGATATTTTGATTTGAAGTTGAAGTTGAAGTGATGCGAGTGGTGAAATGAGAAATCCCATTCGATCATGTTGATATCAACTTATGTCTCTTCACAGGTTTAACAAGCTGGTTAACAATCCAACCTATGTGATTACAAAGGTGACTCTTCGATCGATCCTCATCCAATCCAATCTCAATCCCAATCCAATCCCATCCCATTCACCTTGAAGTTAAACTTTCAAGAAATGTATCAACTCTCTCAACGTAATCTACTTCGTTCATTCTCAAAACCACTCTTAAAATCCCAAAGAACTTTCGCAACCCCAACAAACCAACATCCTACTCCAACTCATCCACCAAAAGATTATGATATAGTCATTGTTGGTGGAGGTCCAGTTGGATTAGCATTAGCAAACGCATTAGGTAAAGTCCAACAATCTCTTCCGACTTCTAAAATCAATATATACACTTGATTTCTGAGACTTGAATTGTTTTTTTTTCTTTTTCTTTGGTTTATAAAGCTACATGTAAAACTATCAAAAGTTCAGGTACTCAAATCTCGGTTTTAGATTCAGCTAATCTTGATCAACTTAGTCAATGGACTTTACCAAATGGAGAATGGAGTAATCGAGTTAGTTCACTAACCAATGAAAACATGAGATTTCTTAAAAGTATGATATCTTTTTTTTTTTTGGATTGGATATCTTCCTATCATCAAAACAAAAAACTCAAGTTAAAGTTTGGTTTGATTAGGTATTGGTGTATGGCAACATATTGATCTTTCTAGAACGAATCCATTAGAACGTATGGAGGTAAATCATATTCCATAATCCCAACCTAACCTTTTTCTTCAACTCAACTCAACTTTTTCCACTAATTCTCGAATTTTTTTTTTACCTTAGGTATGGGATGGTCTTTCAGATGCACGTATCATTTTTGATTCATCAGATGGATGTGAACCTAATGAAATAATCAATCAATCCAACTTACCACATATGGCAAGGTTTATTGAAAATCTTCATTTACAAACTGGAATGTTAAGAAACTTAAAACTTCAATCGAATGTTGATTTAATCGGTTCTACTAAAGTTGAAAGCATTCAATCTGATCCAAATAATTTACCTTTGATTTATATGAATGATGGAAAGATCTTTAGAACTCGGTTACTTGTGGGTCAATGTTTTCTTTTATCCTTAAAAATTCTTTTTTTGATAAATTTAAATTGAATTAGGATCTTAATTGATGATGATTTCTTGATGGGTTTAAGATTGGAGCTGATGGGTTTAATTCACCGGTTAAATCGTATGCTAAAATCACTTCTACTGGTTGGAATTATGATGCACATTGTGTGGTGGGTACATTAGAACTTGAACCTACTAGTTTAAATCATACCGCTTGGCAACGATTCTTGACATCAGGTCCATTAGGAATCCTTCCCGTAAGCCATTCACCTCTTCCCGCTTCACCCAAACGATCTTTGTAAACTGATCCGCTTGATGGATATCTTTTTAGCTTTCTGATAGATGTGCATCATTAGCTTGGTCAACTAAACCTCAAATCGCAGCAGGTCTAAAATCCTTGACGCCCCAAACCCTTTCATCAGTCATCAACGCATGTTTCGCCTTACCTCATTCATCTATCGATCCGATTCTTAAACAAATCGGCACTCATTCCAAAGAAACCCCAATCGATTCGAATTTAATCCAAGCAGAAGTAGATTGGAGTGAATCCTTAGTACGATCAAATCAGCTTTCATCTGATGAATTACCACCTAAAGTCACGGGAGTTCGAATGGAATCGATTGCAAGTTTTCCTTTGAGAATGTTTCATGCTGATCAGTATCTTGGAGATACGAAAGATCAAGCAGAGTATGCTGGACCGAGTAGGGTGGCTTTGGTAGGAGATGCCGCTCATGTTTTACATCCGATGGCTGGTCAAGGTTTGAATTTAGGATTAGGTGATGCAAGAGAATTGGCTAAGACGGTGAAGATCGCACTGGAAAATGGACAAGATATTGGTAGGTTTGAGTTTAGGATTTTGATTTGATGATTTCAGATTGAAAAGGTTGATTTCTTTGGATGTTTTTTTAGGTTCATTGACAGCTTTAAGTCCATATGCAAGATCTCGTTATATAAACAATCATTTAATAATGGCCACAGTGGATAAATTAAATAAACTTTATTCGATCAAAGCTTCACCGATCGTATGGGCCAGATCAGTAGGTGTAGAAGTCTTGAATGAACTTCCGAGTCTTAAGAATTTAATGATGGGAAGAGCAGGTGGTGACTTAAATTCAAATCGAATAGGTATATGGGGAACCGTAGCTGATGTTTATGAAACGATTGAAAAGGTTAAGTATCTTTCGGATGGAATGGTTAGGATGGGATTAGGTGCCTTGAGTTCGGTTTTTCAACGTGATCGGTTTAGAAATTGAAAGTCAGATTTGAAGAAAACAAAGTAAAGTGAAAACGAAACAAAAATGTATTATGATTGATTATTTAAAGCAAAAAAAAAACTCCATCAGATTGTTTAAGAGTGGTGTATGTACAAATAACTTTTTTGTTTTTAAGTTTCATATACTATGTAGGTTGTTTGTGCAAGGTTTATTTTTCGGTTTGATACCAACTTTTATTGTTTATACTTACAGCTCCTAGAGAAGGGTTTGGTGATTTGTGGTTGGTACTCGATTGATTAACCGAGTGGAAATATGGAGGTACGGTCATTGAAGAGAGGACAAGTTGAATCCAGATAGGGTCTGATCAACTCTGGGGCGGGTTTTGGTCAATTTGAGCTTACCTATGGTCAAGAATCAAGATGTGGCTGGGGATGCTCTTGAGCGGTTTTGTTTTTCTCCATGTTTACATTTTTTCTCTCGGTTCTCGTTTTTGCAGCTCTCACACTGCAATGCGATGTCCGTTCGGCGGGCACCGCTTCTCGTATGTACACCACGCTGTCTGTAAGGCACGCCCCAAAACTTAGTGCCATCTAGCCAACGTTTTAATGAAAGTATTCCGAAAGATATTGGTGGCTTTTGATTGAAGTTGTATTATTCCGAAATGGGATACAATTGAATTGAATTGAGTTGAAAGATATAAAGAGATACATATAAAGCTTGAGAGTGAGCTGACTTGAGTTCAGAAAGAACAGTTAATCCAACTTGAGTGCGATTGATTTCAGTGAAGATGTTCAGATCGATCTCAAGGTCAGGTCTTACGATTACAAATCACTCTCATCATCTTAATCTTCATCATCAAACTCTCAAAAACAAAAACAACAACCATCAACAACAACGAAGAAGATTCTCACAATACACTTCTACGATGATGTCTTCTAGTTCAGTACACCTTTTAAAATCTCATTTATTCATATCTCTTTAACTGATTTTGGGTTTTTATTTATCTTTTTTAGGTTTTAATAAGATTCAAGTTAAGAATAAGTTGGTGGAAATCGATGGTGATGAAATGTAAACTATCATTCGTTTTCTTGAATATACCAAAAAAACAAATCAGATGATTCATCAAAGGAGAATGAAGTAAACTGATTAAATGATTTGGTTTTGATTGGAATCGTTTGGAATGTAGGACAAGAATCATATGGCATAAGATCAGATCAGATCTTATCTTGTAAGCAACCCAACAAAAAGAAAACCCAATCAATTCTCACAACCTATATTTCTTCAACCCACGACTTCATTTTGTTCACCATCCATCTAATTCTTGACTTTTTTTTTCGATTGTTTGAATAGACCATTTATAGATATACCAATTGATTATTATGATTTATCAATTCAAAACCGAGATAGAACAGATGATCAAGTAACGATCTTAGCAGCTCAAGCAATCTTAAAACATGGAGTTGGAATTAAATGTGCAACTATCACACCAGATGAAGCAAGAGTTAAAGAATTTAAATTAAAAAAAATGTGGTTGTAAGTTCCAACAAAGCAAAAAAAAAAGCAAAAAAAAAGCAAAAAAAAGAACAGGATTGTATAAGGAATTCAAATAAGAAGTTGATTTGATGATTTTCTTAGATCACCTAATGGAACGATCCGAAATATCTTAAACGGAACAGTATTCCGTGAACCGATCTTATGTCAACGAATCCCCAAAGCTTTACCAGCTTGGACTTCTCCTATCGTTGTAGGTAGACATGCTCATGCAGATCAATACAGAAGTCAAGGATTAGTGATCGATCAACCTGGTCAACTTGAATTGGTTTTCACACCTAACCAAAATGATCAAGAACCTAAACGATTGTTAATTAATGATTTCAAATCGGCTGGGGTTGGACTTGGAATGTTTAATACTGAAAACGTAAGCTTTTTTCATTATCATCACTTGTTTTTGGAATAGCTTTAACTAAGAATTGGTTCTTTCGTTTTTTTTTCGGTGGTGGTGGGGGGTATGGTACAGTCTATTGATGATTTCGCTCATAGTTCATTTAAAATGGCAATTGCTAAAAAAATTCCAATGTATTTGTCAACTAAAAATACCATTTTGAAAGCTTATGATGGGATGTGGAAAGATCGATTTCAAGCTATTTATGATAGGTTAGAGAACCTTGAATTCTTCTTTTAAACTCAAATTGACTTATTTGTTATCTTATTTTATTTCCATTTGGGTTTTTTTAGTGAATATAAACAAGAGTTTAAAAAACTTGGAATTTGGTATGAACATAGGTTAATAGATGATGTTTGTTTTTTTCATTGGCTTTTTTTGTGGTGGCTATCACGTACTCAATTTTTCTGATTTTGGATGAATTTGATATATAGATGGTAGCTCAGATGATCAAATCATCAGGTGGGTTCTTAATGGCTCTCAAAAATTACGATGGTGATGTTCAATCAGATATTGTTGCACAAGTAAGTCTTCTCTTCTTTATGAAACATTGATGAATTTCTTGAAAAGAACTTAATCTTTGAATCAATGGATCATCAAGGGATTCGGATCATTAGGTTTGATGACTTCTGAGCTCGTTACACCGGATGGTAAGATTATGGAAAGTGAAGCGGCTCATGGAACAGTCACTCGACATTACCGAGAATATCAAAAAGTAAGTTGAACTCACAAGGATGATTTGAATTGAAAAAAACTGAGATATTGAAAACATTCGAATTTGGGAATTTGTTAAAAAGGGAAACCCAACTTCGACTAATTCGATTGCTTCGATTTATGCATGGACAAGAGGTTTAGCATTCAGAGGGAAATTAGATTCCAATGAAGCTTTGATTAGCTTTGCTAAAACGTTGGAAGAATGTTGTGTAGAATCTGTTGATCGTGATGAGGTGATGACGAAAGATTTGGCGATTGCTATTTGGGGTAAAGAGATTGATTCATCTAAATATGTAACTACGTAAGTGGATCAGTCGAAAACAAAAAATCTCATTTGATCTATTTATTGATTGATTTGAATCGGTTGGATGTGATTTTTTTTTTCGTGGGTTTGACGATTGATGTGATGTTTTTTTTTGGTTTTTTTTGGGTTTTGATTTGGAAACTTCTAGTGAAGGGTTCTTGGATCATGTTAGACAGAAATTAGAATCCAAATTAAAGTCTGATAAACAAGGATCTAATTCTTTGAAATTATGAAACCACATACCAATCCAAAACACGTAAGTCAATCTACTTACTAATGAAAACAAACGTCTAAAGGGAATTGATCTAGATAAGATCTTTTTGAAAATTGATCAGGACGGTATTCTATATTTGCTCAATATATATATATATATATATAAATGATTTCAATCAACACGCTTATATTTACGAACTTGAGATTTCTTTTAAGGATTAGTGTTACTCAAAGAAGAAAAACTTATTAGTATCAATGTAATTTCAAACGTCTTTTGAGTTTTTGTTTTTTGTTTTATGCATCAGTTTAGCATTATAAGTTGAATCTTTTTTTGGAATTTTATGCATTTTTTTATAATGATCATCAAACAATTGAATGATCAGATTCCTTTTTTTGCCTTCTTTTTTTGAAATGTATATTTCTGAGAATCCAGTTTAGATTTGTTGAGTTTCCATCTATAAATAAATAGAGATATAGTTTAATGATTTGAAGAAAGAGATTATCAAGATAGATTTAACGGATTATATATCTCTTGAAATAAAAATGAATCAAACTCAATGAGAAGGTAATATGGTTATTCTAGGAATGCATTACTACATACTACCAAGTCTTCAAGATACATTCATTCATTCATTCATTCATTCATTCATTCATTCATTCATTCATTCATTCATTCATTCATTCATTCATTCATTCATTCATTCATTCATTCATTCATTCATTCATTCATCATTCATCATTCATCATTCATTCATTCATTCATTCATTCATTCATCATTCATCATTCATCATTCATCATTCATCATTCATCATTCATCATTCATCATTCATCATTCATCATTCATCATTCATCATTCATCATTCATCATTCAAGGGTATGAAACAAATCACAATAGATGTTGATAACTGAACCAGAAATCTTCAGAATACTGAATTCATTTTGATGCTCATATAGGCTACAAGATGTACTGAAGGAAGTTATTGAGACTTGGAATCAGCTCACCTTAACAACTCTTTTTTCAACATTCAATTAACCCAACATTCATGTAAATATCTTTTTTTAACCTCATCTAAATCTTTTAAACCTCAACTACAAACTTCATCTGATCCTCAACCAAACTCAAAAAATACTGTTTTTATCCATCCATATACAATATATACATTTAGAATTTCCTTGGTAAATAAAACCATTTTGATTTTGACAAAAACCAAATTCAATCAAACTCTCTACACTACAACTACTTGTTATACTTCATTTAAATTCACATAAATAACCCGTAAAAAAAAAAGTTTGATTTCTTACTAAAAATTATTAAAATCAACCAATTTTGGATTTTTTTATTTTTGAAAAAAAGTAAAAAAAAAAAAACTTCCCAAAAAAAAAAAGGAGAAAAAAAAGGAATGTGTTAATAATGATGATGATTTGGCTTCTTTTATGAAAAAAAAAATGTGTAGTTAGAGATCAAAAAAAAAGAAGGAAAAAAAACTTTTTGTTTGCTTTTGTATACAATTTTTTTGCAAATAAATTAAATGATTTTGGTGTTTGAATTACATACATTCAAAGAACTAAACAAAAAAAATGATGATGAAGAAGAAGTGATGTCAATGAGGATGTTTTTATACAAGAAGAATCGTCAAATTGAAGCAAAGAGAGAGAAGAGAGATAAAACGAGAAAAAGCAAAGAGAAAAAATGAATAGATCTGGGTTAGGTATATCAATGATGAAATCAAAACCCGAAAGCCAGATAAAGAAAAAGAAGAGAAAGACGAATTCTTGGTAAACCTCAATCGATTTCCAAAGCCAATTCTTCTTGTTCAGTTCTCAACTTACTCAAAGGAAACTGACCCATTACCATCCTCTCAACTGAATTAATCTTCAACCGATCTTCAAAACTAAACCCATCACTAATCTGACACATCTCCATTCGATCATTCAAATTCTTTTGACCAACCATCATCTGTTGAATACTTTTAAATCCATTCAACTCTCGTGGAATCAATCCACTGGCTTGAGTACAACAAGTCTTAATCCAAAGTCCCGTAAGGTTTGGTAACCGATGAACCGAACCAACTGAACTGATGATCGTCCCTTTTTCTAAATCGAAAGATGGAAACCTTTCCACTTTACTTGATTTTCGTTTTTCTTCTCTTTTATTAAGATTCAAGTCTAGAGTAGAATTCGGTTTTGAAAGTGGGATAGATGTGATGAATGAAGTTGGGGGTTGGATTGTAGTTGATTTAGCTCGGGCTTTTTTGGTTAGTTTTTTTAATACTCGAGGGTGGTTAGATGACTTGATGGTTGATGGAAGAAGTGGGTCACAATCAGTCCCGATTGGAGTTTTGTCTTGCTTCTTTTTCTTCGAAGGTCGAACGGTTGTCTCTATCATTGATTCTAAATCGGATGTACAAGCATGTTTGAGCTGAGGTCGAGGTGATAGGCCAGAACTAGGCGATTGAATGGGTTCTGTGATCTCTAGATTCGTATAACTCGAACGATGTGAAGTAGTCACCGGTTCACTATCACTTGTCATGGTCATCATAGATTCATCTCCTGCATTTATATCCATCTGAACTAATTCAAATTCCATCTCTTTTATGACTTCCTTCTCTAGGTTTTCATTGGAGATTGATGAGCCGAATCGATCATCTTGTGGTTGTGTAAGAAACGCATCTGAGGAAGATTCTTGATAAAAGAGCTTTTTTATTGGAGATTGAAGATGAATAAGAGTAGAACCATTGTTGAAAACTTCATCATCATCTAAAGCTGAAACCGAATCATATCTCAAATTAGAGTTTTGAATTCCAATCAATCCTTTTGAAAAAGCCAATTGAAGATATTGACGAAAAGTTAAACCAGCCAGTAGATTCGAACCGAATTCATGTCTATCAAGTAAAGCTTTTAAATCTTTCAACTTAATTTGAATGAATTCGATTGGACCATGAGCTCTAAAGAGTAAAAGTAAAGGTCTAAAGATCTTTAAATCCTTGACATCTTTTGTTGTGGTATGATTCCAAAACGCATCATGATCTTTAACTTCATCTATCGATCCATGATCTCTGGTGACTAATTCGAAATGTCCTTCTGACCATTCAAATACTATATCTGCTGCAATCGTCAGTTCGAGTGAGAGATTCGAACCGATCGGTTTCACATAACAAATTAATGGTGGATTTGGTAGTGATTGTAATAATCTGATGCCATATTGTATTACGTCTCGATCTTCTGTTGATATTAACATGATTCGATGTGTAGTAGTTTGAGTAGCGGCTTCTAATAAATCATTTAACAATGGTTTCATAGCAACATATCGATCCTGCAAGTATATCCAATACATCAGTTATGGCTTCTAGTCTGTATATCTGGATAAAAAGTACTCACTCGAGATAGCTTTTCGGATGATGAATCGAGTGTACCAAGAGGAAAATCAGAGGAAGGATCAATTGAATTCCGGATGAAATCTTTTTCAGTTCCTTCATCATCATAATAAAAATGATACTCTAGAATCGGATTTCGATCCCATAAACCTAATGCAGTTCTATGATCATCAACTAAATATTTAAGAAATTGTAAAAGTTGATCGATTGGAATCTTGGATTGATTTTGATGTAAATAAAGATCTAGAAAGCTTTGAGAATCGAATTGAGATGGGTTTGAAAAAGAAGAACCGAATGCATTGATCGAATGATGATGAGTTTGGTTTAGTTGAGTATAAAGATTATATTGATGATGGTTTGATTTGATGAACCTTTTAAAGAATTTAAATCGTTTGTTAAACAGTTTGATTAAACAAATTAAAAATCCAATCAAACTTGAGATTTGAAAGTAAGACTTTAAGATAATAAACTCTGTACTATTCTCATTAGGATGTCTAAGGAATTGATTGGTGATCCAATTGAAACTACCATCAAACCTTTCAAAAGCTTTAATGATCATCATTCGATTTAACATTCTTCAAATTGATAAAGTTATCTAAGAAAGCTAAAGTGAATCTGTGGTAAAAGAATAAAAAAAGTTAAAGTGTAAAGTCAGTTTAATGAATCAAATCATCAGAATTAAATAAGTGAGAATACGAAACTAAATCGAGCTTTATAAAGTTCTGCAATCAAACAAAAACGAAAACTCGTTTGATCGAGTATCGTTCGTATCAAGACAAAAGAAGAAATCAGTCTTAAACTTTTTTTGGAAAAAAGTAAAATGAAATCAATCAAGAAAGAAATTTGAAAAGATTGATATTTGAATTGAAAGTAGAGATGTTTAAAATATTTTTTAGTTTTTAGTTTTTTTTTTACAAGACTTGAATTGCTAAAGATTCCCGATTTGACTCTGAGGGACCTGCCTCTTACTCTTGAAGCTTGCAATTATTCTGGATATGATAGTGAATGTTGAATGAGAGAGTATTTTGAAAAGCATAAAAGAAGTGAATGAAAAGTTCATTTAAAGGAATTCCAGATTTCCTTCGATCTCAAACTCCACTTCATCACAACTGTGTACCAGGTCCACAATCTTGCAATTTATTTAAAGCCCCCTCGGCTCATATCACAACCACCATACAACATCTTATACTATACTGCCAGTGCCCACTACCACCACCACCCCGACATCCAAACGCTCAATATGATTGAGCATCCACAATCACAGAATCAACCGTCCAATGTACTACTTACTTCAAATAGCTTCCAAATGGAAATATTCCCAGGTCTTGCCACAAAGATATCTAAAGGAGATGCATAAATAACCGGCAAAAAATGAGTGATTTTGCCAATGTAGGGATCTAGCCTAGAGAAAATTCCAAACAAGAATCCCATATGAAAGCTTTCAACCAAGATCAAAAAGCCAATGACCATCAAGTATCTTATCATCATCAAATAATGAGTGTATGCTTAACAACATAAAAGATCTCAAATCAAACTTTTCCAAAAAAACACTACAATTTTCATGTTTCGATTTCTAATTCTATTCAAGACCCCAATCAAGTTCATCCCAAGACCTTTCATCTTTCATCTTTCATCTTTCTCAAAAAATCTGATCAACCACAAACTCTTTATCTTTACATATCTATACATTTATACACATATCTAAATCCTTAAACCCAAAACAAATCATTCATTTATTATCTTTATTTATTTTTTTGCAATCTCTTTCAAACCAAACCAAATCAACAAATTTTTTGACGACGACTTCTTCTTTTCCTCCCAAAAATAAATCAATTTAAAAAAAGGCTACACAAAAAAAAAAGGAATAAAGTATTAAAAATTCAAACAAACAAACCAAAAAAAAAAAAAAAAACACAATAGATCGATACAAACACATCTTTTTTTTTCTTTAAACAAAAAAAAAATCAAAATAAACATCAAAAATAAACATAAAACACTTTCTTTTAGTCTTTTTTTCTTTCTTTTTCTTAATCTTCTTCTAGATATATATAAAACGTTCCTTTATTCTGTTTAATCTATAAAACAAAAGTGGATATAAAAAAAATCACTCCCCTCCCCCCCCCAAAAAAATCAACTAATCCCAAATTCCCTTCCCTTTTACCTCTTCTTCTTTTGGATTGTAATTAGAAAAGTTCAATAAACCAACCGAAAGAATGAAAAAGAAGGATTATACGTAAACTATACATAAGTTTTCTTTGTTTTTGTTGAATATATATATAGAAAAAAAACCTCAACCATAACCTTAAACACAAACGTATACACAACTGAGCTCCACGCGAAATAAAAAATCACAAGAAAAAAAAAACATAAAAGAAAAGAAAGGTTTGACAAACAGGTATTAAGGTGTCATTTTTTTTTTGAGAAACAGGGCAAACTAAGATCCCATTTTTTTTGTTCGACTATCAATCTATTGTTCCATCGCATAGGCATCATTATTCACTTGACTTGGCTTTGAATCATTGTCTTTCTTCTCAGGTGAAAATGATCTAACAGGTGATAATGATCGATGTTCAAGTACGAGTGAAAGACCTTGACAACTTGCATTCCTAGTGATTCGTCGATTGTTATTAGGATTATTATTGATTCCTTCATTCAGAGTGGTGGGTATGGTTGAATTGTTATTACTATTTAATTTCATCATGCCTATTCCTCCTACAACAGGTGCAGTCATCTCTTGTTTTTTCTCTTTCATTCGACCTGTGAATATGAAGATAGCACGATCAGAGATTTATCACTCAGTCTAATGCAAGTTAAAGAACATGTTTGAAAATCGCTTACCAAAAAGTTCACCAACCACCATATAATCTCTTGGTGTGGCAAAACTAGTAGGCTGTTCTTGTAAGAACCTCATCACAGTCTCTAGCGCACCCAGAGCTTCATCAAATCCGACTCTAGATCGAGCATTGGGACCCTTATGTGCATTGTTACGATTGGTGGGCCAGCCATCAGAAGATCCCCAACTACTTGTGGCAGAAGGAATGGAAGCCGATCCGAAACTATCGGTATCCTCCTTGGCAGAATGTGGACGACTCATCATCACAGAGGCAACTCTTCCTCCAGTTCTTGAAGGACAGACTGGTGCGAGTTCAGGACCAGCAGATCGAGGCATGGTACCATATTGATGATATTGATTGCCATTGGAGTGTGCCGAATACGAAGAAGATGCGGAAGAGGTTGAGCAGCATCCAAGGGTTGGGCAGACCCCTCCACGTCCAGTATTATGAGCCAGATGAGTGGGTGGAGCTGAACCAGGAGATGCATAAGGGTGATAATATCCAGCTGGACTAGGTAAGGCGCTAGCACTAGAATGCAAGGCTGGATGCGAAAGTGCATGACGAAGACTGGGGAAGTTGCGTCGGTTCGGGGCGGTACGGATTGGAGTCGGGTTAGGAGTAGAATGGAGGGGGTGATGAGAATAACCAGAGGCAGTAGTACCAGGTCCAAAGCCATGAGTCGGTCCGCGAGGATCATCGCCATTGCCAAAGACTGAAGATGATTGATGAGAAGCGACAGAGGCTGAAGAGCTACGAGAGTGGGTTGAGCTGGAGTGATGGATTTCCATTGAAGTTGGACGATAATCAAAGCTCGAAGGGTGGCGCCTTCCTAGGTCAGTTGCTTGTGATTGATTTCCGTGTGAGCTGAGCGAAGGTGGTGGTGGCGGTTGATTAGAAGGTTGATGATGATGAGAGGGGAACACGACCGTCTCCTCCGCGCTAGTTTCAATCTCGTCACCATACTCTTCTACTCCTTCCATTGCATCGTCGTGATCTGCTGGGTTCTTGTCAGCTGGTTGAAAATGATGATCATGATCGCGAAGGGGTGCTCTGGAAGGTGAACGAAGGGTGCGGGAAAGATCGGTAGACTTGACGCCAGTCGGTCCATCACCAGTGGTGGAAGAGTTGGGACTCGAAAGGGGAGGTGTGGCCGGCTCGTCGACGTCTTCACCGCCGAGCCGTGGCATCAAGAGTGGAGGCCGAGGTGAGTAGAGTCGGGTGGGTGAGATTGAACGCTTTGGGCCTTCCTCTTCATCGAGTTGTTCGGGATCGTCTTCTTCGAGCTCTTCTTCCTCTTCTTCTTCTTCCTCTTCCTCTTCATCCTCTTCCTCTTCCTCTTCATCCTCCTCGTCTTCTTCTTCTTCATCTTCATCGACACATTCATCTCTTTCCTCAGTATTGCCATTGAGCAATGTAGCAGAGCGTGAGGTCTGAGGAGTTCGAGGCGGTGCTTGAGTCTCGGTCGATTGTATGGGTAAAGCGTGGACCTGATGAGTGATCGATTGAGACTGCTCGGAAGTGACCGAAGGATGATTAAGATTAGGATCAAGAAATCGACCACCCTTGATCTGAGCACGTTCCTTGAAAGCGTCAAGCCAACCGTTGGAAGCCTTAAAAGCCCCTTCACCTAATCCGATCTCCTGTGAGACATCGAGTGCTAAATCTTTGATGGTACGATCACCCAAGAACGCGCCTTGAAGGGCTCTCATCCGACAACGCCTCACCACCTCAGATTCAAGTTGTGGAAATCGACCACCTCGATGTTTGATCACCTTTGCAGCTCGAGCAGTAGGCGAGATGCTGAGCCATTTGTCACGATACTTGAGAATTTTTGAAACTGAAGATCGATCGATACCCCATTGAAGTGCGATATCCTCTTGAGTTGATTTTGGATGAGCAGCAGCATACTCGCAAATCCTACGACGATCGAGATTGTTGAGCTTGGACTGACGTCGAGCTGTCTTTGGAGGAGGTCGACCAAGAGGATGCGGAGGATGAGGAAGTGGATGGGTAGGATGATGCGGCGATTGTTGAGGATGATGTTGAGGGTGTGATTGTTGTTGAGATTGATGGTGATGGTGATGGTGAAGATGATGAGATGAAGGAGGAGCGGAAGGAGGTTGATGTTGGTGTTGGTGTTGGTGTTGATGATGGTGATGATATTGAAGGTGATTAGATTGTGATTGTTGATTATGGTTGAGATGGTGATGATAAGAAGGCTCAGGAGGAAGAGTGGAGATTGAAGGTAAGAAGGCTTGGTGGGCCAAGATAGCGTTGGGTGTAGGGCGGGAGAGCATGTCAAAGTTGACTATGAAGAATGTTCGAGATAGATCACAATGAGAAAGACCAAAAGAGAATGAACCGAAAAAAGAAACAAATGAGGTGAGATGTTTGTAAAGTGAAGTCAAGAGTATTTATTATTGTGGTCGGGATTCAGTTGAGTTGATTCGATTGAGAGTGATAAAGAAAAGTAAACAAGATGGTTTTTAAGATATATATGTATAATTCGAAATCAAAAAAAAAGATGTGAAGGATATCAACTAGAAGACTTGAGTGAAGTTTTGAGTAAATACAATCGATTCTTGATGCTTGAAGAAGGAATTCAGGATGGATGAGGAATCAAGCAAGTCTAGATGGATGTGTATGATGGATTGGGGGAATGAAGATGGTCGATCGATTTGAAGAGAAGGAGAGTTTTAAGTTTTGATACCAAGTTTTTCTGAGTTAAAAGAATTAATCAGAAAAATAGAACTCATACACCAGAAAAGAAAGTAAGTATCAAATTGAATGTTTGTTGTGAAGTGAAGGTTGGGTGTGTCAGTGTGTGTGTGTGTAGATTATCTTTTAATCTGAGAAGGAGTCTAAGTTAACGGTTGAAGACTTAAATCAACAACTCTGCGTTGTACCAATTCTCAACATCTGCTCAAGGAATTGATGACCAAATAAACTATCAAGCTGATTGATGATGATGACGATGATGAGATTGATAAAGTGTAAAGAGTAGTGAGAATGTATCATCCAGTAGAATGTCAACTTCCTAAGGATCCGATTGGTTGTGTAAAGTAGAGATTACAAATTGTGTATTGATTGATCGATTGATTGAAAATTTTCCAAGAGATGGGGTGAAAAGAAAGAAAGAAAGAAAGAAGGAAATTAACGAAACTTAAAGAATTGAGAAGGTGTTTGAGTATGGTGAACTGAATTGAATTCACTAGTTCTAACTTTTTGGATTTCAAGTATAAAGTAGCACACTCTAATAATTCAT